CCTGCTCGAGTCCCGAGTCTTGTCACCAAACTTCACTGAACATAATGGTACATTCCCTTTCCTTACCTTTTTCTTCTGAACTGTGTTTTTTTTATTGTTGCTTTTTTCTATTGAAAAAAGGGTAGTACAACGTTTAAGCACCCAATGTTTTTTTTTTCTTTTTGTAAAATATGTAGTACATCATTTAAACACCCAAGCGTTCATAAATGGTCTTTGTACCAGACAATAGGGTGTCTTATACTCTGTTTCATACTTAGCGTGCAACACTGTCAAAGGTACTAATGTGGTGCACATGAAAAAATAGAAAAAGTATTACTCCGCGCGTTTCGTGGACGAGTGGTAGAAGGCGCTGCTCTGGTGATATTGACGTCTCGGTGGCCGTGGTTCAAACCCATTTTAAGCGCAAAGTTTTTTTGTTTTTTTTTTTCTTTTTTAGACATACTTTTTGTGCAAGATTGTGCGCATTGACGAAGTGCGTATTTCAGTTCGTCCTCCTTGATTTTTATTTATAAGTCGCCGAGAGGCCAGATTTCTACCATCTGGTCTGCCGCTTTGCAAGTGTTATTTGCCTCCAGCACCGAGTTATATTTTTCTTTCGTGAAGCGTGGAATGAGGAATCGCCCTGATAGCGGCCTTGTCCCAAAATTTATAATAAGACGTTAATCGACAATAGTTGTGGCCTGTGCAGTTTATTTTGAAATAGCTGTCAAGGGTAGGAATCTCCCTCTCGGAGCACCTGCGATGCACCTTCAGGCGAATGGCGTTCTGTGTGAACTCGTCATGCTTGACGGTCCCCGTGCTTGAAACTTACATGTTGCGAGGTCTTTGCTTCGGGGACGCCACCTTGCCAGATAGGCACTGCGAATTGCACTTCGCGACAGTACAGGGCACACTCCAGTGTCGTTACTGGCCGTCTCCAGGACTTCATGACCGAATTCTCCGGGGAATGTGTTCTTATACTCCCGTACACATTGGCGATCATCTGCTTGCACTCTTTCAAGATTTTCGCACAACGAATCTTTGAAAACATCCGAAGAGGAGAGGTACTTGAGCTTGCTGCGTAAGACGCCATCTTCTCAAAACCAGCCAGTGCCACACAACCTGAAAACCCACAGCGGCTGCCACATGGATGAACACGAAAACAGTTTAAGGTGGTTTACGTTATCTTTTCCTTTTTCTTGAAAAACATTTGTGCTCCGTTGAAATCATAACGCCACTATCAGTTGCTAGCCCCGAGGAGGCACATTTTTCGACTTTTTAAAATTGTTTTGCAGGGGACGCACTATCTTATGGGGCGAACGTAGGCACGGTCAGCAATGCAAGCCGGTGCGCTAGCTTTGACTGCGTTGCACTCTATGTATGAAACAGAGTATAGGATCGCTTCAGACGGGGCAACCTTTTCAGCAATTTTGGGGCTGCTGGTGGGTTGTTTCCTAGTTTCCCTATATCGACATGAATTGCTGATATCGGGTCCGGCTCGAAGCGGACGAGCAACTCTGACTACTCGGAGATGTTTGAAGCGGCAGCAGCCAATCAGGAATGCAATATTTTCACGTGACACCCCTGTGGTCGTGATGATGAGAACTGAGGACTTAGCTCAGGTTTGAAATGGATCATTTTTGAAAATAAACTGTTTCAAAAAGATGAGTTAGTATTCTCAGCATTGCGCTGAGAATACTAACTCATCTTTTTGAAACAGTTTATTTTCAAAAATGATCCATTTCAAACCAGTACTAAGTCCTCAGTTCTCATCATCACGACCACAGGGGTGTCATATAGATATAAAAACATGTTTTTAGGATATAACTGTGCGTCTAAATACTGTAAGAAAAATAAAATTTCATGATGATGATGGCAAGTCGTAGCAATTCGGTTGCTGCATGTGAACGCAGGCGGCCCGTGTTGCTGGTGTTGCGACATGAAGTTGCTGGGCCAAATTGTTCCGTCTGAAGCGGGCTTTAGGGAACTGAATTCAAGGGCCGTGGAGGTTTGGGTGCAAGCCTACCTGGAAACATTTTTTTTTCTTTTTTGTCTTTTTTAGTATTTAAATATATATATATATATATATATATATACATATATACTTTTTTAAGTTTTAACATATAGATGCATAATTTACACACTAATTCATTTTCAGAAGCGCTTTTATTCACACTCTGTGGCTTTCTAGTGCTTGCAATAGCTTCTCGGTGAGCTAATGCCAGCTCTGCAAAGGGAGAGGGATCTTCCCACGCTTTGCAGGCTGTAAAGCTGTGGCTTGCACAGCTCTCGTGTGTCACACCTCGCTCACTGGCTCCATCGCGAAGCATAGGTGCTGCATGAGTCGCGCCACACCGTAAGCCCATATACGGTCAGGTGACAAACCTGGGACCATTTGTCACTGCACTCAGCTATGGTATGGTGGCATGGTCGGGGCATGAAGCAGGGGTACAGCTTGGAAATGCTGATCTTCATGACATTTTAAACACATTTTTCATTACTTCTGTGTCGAGTTGTCAGCATTCTAAAGGTGAGAAAGCAAGCAGCAGCGACAGCAAGAAAAGAAAAATTTAAGAGCGCTTTCACCAAGAATCAATTACGAGCACTAGAAAGGCATGGAGTGTAATTAAAACGCTTCTAAAGGTGAATTAGCATATAAATTAAGTACTTGTGCCTCAAAAATAAAAAAACAATGTAAATATAGTTATAAGGATAAAAATATACACCAGGAGGACTTAAACCAAAACTACAGTCTGTAAGTTTGAAATTTGACACCTTAAATCACTTGGCCACCACCCAATTTTATTTCCAGGTCGTTCATCGAGGTATATGAATTTTGTTTGCAGCTGTCGGCTGCAAGAGAGATTGCCTTATTTTCATTTACTTTACTATTCCCACCAAATATGACAAGTGATGCAGAATAGAACCTCATTTGGTTGGCCGAGGCACTGTGCTTGCATCAAGGCAAACTAGCCTGTCTTGCTGAGTTCATATTTTGTTTCATCACCTGTTTAGGATTCTGTTGTCGCTCATCAAAAGAAGAAAAAAAAAACTGACTAATTCTGACTTATTCTGGTGTGCAGGTACCCTTGGCAGTAAACTCTGCTAAATGGGGCAAAATATAGATACTTTTTTTAGCAAATATGCATCGTTTTAGCAAAATGAGCTACACTATTTGACTAACGTGAAACCGAACGAGCCTCTCCACTTGGGTCTTTTTTCATCTCTCGCAGACACTATTTCCTGCTTTTTGTGGTTTGTTTCAGACTTTTGTATTCTGTCCGGCCAAAGCATCTGTGTTACACTAAGACCGGGTTCTTTAGGATATCTACAGGTATTCTTCGCAGCAAATGGCTTCCAATCAGGAACACGAGTTTGTTCTCGGCCACCGAGAGCAAGTATTTTCAAGGTGAGCTATTGCCCGCCTATATGAGTTTTGTATTTCATTCCTCTTGAATACCATAACCTATGTGTAGTGGTCTTGCATTAGTATTTTGTTGTCTCTCTTCTGCAAAAACACCCAAGTTTGACTAAGACCGGGTTCTTTCTTATACATGCAGGTCTTGGTGGCAAGCACCAGCCAATCAAGGCCAGAAGTTTGCTCTTTGCCGCGCATGGCAAGTGTTTTCAAGGTGAGTGATTGACGCCTATCTGAGTTGTGCGTTTCATTCCTCACAGACACTCTATGTCCTGTCTCTATCGTGGTTTTGTGTCAGGCTTTTGTGTCTCTGTCCGGTCAAAGCATCTGTGTTAGACTAACCCCCGAATTCATAGATGTGACTTCAACTGAAGCCGAACTTCGACTTGCTCAAGTCCGCCTCAACACCAAGTTCGACTTGAAAACGCCCAAGCTGGCTTTTACGTTTCATAGACGCTCCCGCGAACTTCCTTCGTCAAGTCCCGTTCAAGTCGCGAGCGCTCGCGCTGCTCCCCGCCTGGGAGCGAGATTAGGTTGCAATTTTTCTTTTAAAAAGAGTTTCACACGTCAAAAAGAAGTTGCTTCTTAAAATTTTCTTCACAGCATGTCTTTACGAGACGCAAATCGTGAAAGATACTATTTCGCAGGTTTCGAAACTAACGTTGTACGCGTTTTCTAGACAAATGCGCTTTTCCGTCTAGCAACGTTGGCTCAATTTGAGCGATGGCTCCTGGCCTGTTTCTTTTCGTTTCGCTCGTTGGCGTCCCTCGCTTGTGGACATATTTGGCGTCATGTGAGTTTCGACGTCTCCTTCATTACGAAAACTCGGGAGAAGCTTGAACTAGGATTCACTGAAGACAAGAAACGAATGCTTATCTGGGTTCAACAAGAATGAAAAGGTATTCGAGTGAGTGGCCGACTCCGGTGCCGTGTCCACACGCCTCAACGAGAAAGTTTAAAATCCTCATAGGATCTTCCTACGGGACTCTAATAACGAAAAGAGTAAAGCTATACGCACTCCGGAGTGCGCTTCGGACGGAAATGGCTATACGCACTCCGCTTTTCTCGTATAAAAAGAGTGTACACAACGAGTTTCCTAAGCGGTGCCATGGCATAGGGGTTAGGGTGTCCGCCTCATACGCACGTAGACGCGGGTTCAATCCGCGGTGGGCCTACTTTTTTTTTTTTTTTTTTTTTTTTTTTCTCGAACATTTTGTTTTGTCGATACATTTGGCGATATTTACGACATTTCCTTTTTTGCGATGAACAGTAAAGACAAAAAAAAAAAAAAATCGAATGTTGCCGAGAAACTTCGCAGAACTAAATGGTATCGGACTCCCTTTCCGGAGGTGCGATCGGGGACAGCGGGGCTTGGATTGCCGGCTGGACGCCGCGAAGCGGCGTGTACTGGTTACGCTTAGTAATTAGCAGCCGATACTGTCGCCGCGAAGCGGCGTGAACGCAGGCGGGGGGCTGTGTTAACGAGCGCCCCAGTGATTCACGCGCCGTTCGAAAAGGGTGGCCCGAGCGGCATGATCTCTCGGAGGAGTGCGTATAGCCATTTCCGCGCGAAGCGCACTCCGGAGTGCGTATAGCTTTACTCTAACGAAAAAGCGCTTGTAACTCCCGATGCGGAAGGAAAATGACTACGAATGGAAGCGGTGATCAAAGCAGGTAAGTGTTTTTACAACATTTCCTTAATGCAAACTACGCGGCGTAGTACTCGAATATGTAAACTGGAAACTATGCGGCCTGGCCTAAGCGCTCTTTCGGCTGTTTTAAACGTTATTTTGTGTTGCTTACATGTTTCTACAAAGGCTTGTTTTAATGGGCGCCACTACATAAAGCGTTGGGCGCGGTGCCTGTGCTTTCGGTGATCGAAACCAGGAAGTAGCTACCGGGCATCATAGTTTTCGGAGCTATGTTTACCTCGTCGGGCTTTCGCGGGCAAAAACTCAGGCCCGGAACATGTTGTTCATGAGGCGGTGAAACTGTCACTGATGTTTGGTGCGCAGAGGCAGGGTTGTTCACCTTTTGTAATCAAGAAAGCTCTCTTTGAAACTGTAATTTTTCTAATTTCTATTTGACCGTTTCGGTTGTAAATAGTCTCGACGCTGCCACTCTCTCATTTGTGACAGTCATGGATTGAAGTCAAACCATTTTATATGATTTTCAGAAGTCTCCTTCCTAAAGATAATGTCCAGGAGCAGGAGTAGCACCTTAGGAAATATTAGCTTTGTGGTTACATCTTGTATATTTCATATCAGTGCCTTACATAAACTTTTCTTTTTTTTAGGAAGGGGACTGCTTTTTCAGCCAGTGAATGCGGTCTGGGCTGGACATAATTTCCAGGCAAGTAAACGAGCATTGTCATGTTGTGCCCCCTGTCCACAGTGATGTGCCCCCCGTCTACAGTGAGTAAGTGTGCTGCTGCAGCCAATGGTGCACTGGTAGGAAGGGGAACCCTCTGTTGAGCAGGAGGAAGACGAAGTAACGAGGACAGGAGTAAAGCACTCAAGCTGTTGAATGCAGCTGCATGTATTTGGTGTCGTAAAAGGGCACTTTAGGGCTTGGGCGACTTCCTGTTAAATGTCTATTGAGCATTACAGGTCGGTACCCATTGTCTTCTCATAAATGAGTGACCATGATGCCTGGGAGCACCACATCAGTGTTAGCAATGCTGCAAGCGAGTGGACTAACAGCAGAAAGCATCTCTTCCCGCTGACGTGACTGCAGAAATTTGCTTTTATGGCCTACTGTCTGAATGTGGAAGGCCGCTCATCGCTCTTCCACCTGTGTAACCATGTCTCAGAGCTGCAGTTGCTTCACTGATTGAAAAGTTGTGGCTGCCCAAGTCTGCATGCGACAAACTGTTCCAGAGATCGGTATGGCATGTTTCAGTATGGCTAGACATTCTACCTGTTCATAAAAACGTATGCCAGACTGTTTCAAGACAACTGTGACACCCTGATCGTTTGTCGAGTTCAGCGACAACCATCAGTTCGTCACTGTACTCTTCAGTGCCGTGTTTATTTGGCTGCTCGAACATCTTTACCTACGGCAGTAAATGCTCGCACCACTGCAATTGTTAATAGGAAGTCATTTATGACCCGAGCCGTTTTTGTTACGACCATGGCCCTCCTCTCGTGTCCTCGTAACATTGTTTTTCTTCTGCACCACACATCTATGAAGCTTGTGACGCACTAGTTTGCATTCACAAGCTGACGACTCGCACAACGTCTAAACTTGGAAATATATAAGCACCCTGGGAAGGCTGTTTAGTGACTATGAAAATTTGCATAAACTTGAAAACCTGATGACTGAATTAAGGTGGTTGGTTGGGTGAGTTGGTAATGATTGAACATGGTTAAATTTGTGCACAAATAGAAAGGAACAGAGGAGAGAGAAGAGACAAGCACGAACTCACAATTCAATGTATTGAAGGAAGAAAAAAGAACAGCCTGCAGTAACAGCTCGAGCCGAGGCCGGTGTGACTTCGGCTTGAGCTGTTTCTGCAGGCTGTGCTTGTCTCTTCTCTCTCCTCTGTTCCTTTCTACGGTATTTGTGCACAATTTTAAACTGACGACTGAAATGTACTCAATGTGGACCACTGGGAGATAATTTGTTCACCGGCACAGTTGTTTCCTAGATATAAGCACAAGCTTGCGCTCCTTCCATTTTCCTCAACTGCCAAATGTATGTGCAGCATTTGCTGTAGGCTATACGAGGTTGGTGAGAATGATTTTTTTTTTTTTATAATTTAGCATCTCAGCTCTCTGTAAACAAAACTTGGAGTCTTTCAGGGCCTCTAGATGCGCAGTGCCACCTCCAGAAAATTATTTTGTGTTTGCCCGTCAGTGCCGCATGTTAGGATATGTATCTAAATAAGCAGCTCTGGTCTGTATGTTTGTTTGTCAAGAGCTTGAGCCATTCCCTTTTTGCAGGTTTTATGTCGGCAGTGTTTCATGATTACAAGACAAACAAGGAGGCTAATGCACCGGTTGCAGCCACTCAAATTCTTTTATTTCCGAAGTGGGACAGCACTATTGAGGCTCATGCATTTCTGAGGGTGCAGCGAGTAATGAAACGGAAACAGAGGAAGCAATACGTTCCACCATAGTTTTAGCACAGGGTTCACATTAGTTCTAAAGACAATCAAGAAAAGAGAATGGGTATTTTCATTGGGGAAAGAAACACGCAGGGCACAGCATTCACAAGACATGCCACTTAGAAATGCAAGAATCAAAGAGAAAATAACTTGTAAAATAATGAAAAAAAAGCATGATCCCTTAATGATTTAGAAGATCACGAAAATGCAAACAAGACGAGGATGGAGGGGGGTGTACACATGAAATGGATGGTCGCTTTGCATACTCCAGCTTCATCTTTATCTTATTTCCACTGCTTCAGGTTTAGGTCATTATGCCCAAGCAAAGCATAAATCATATCATATTTATTTTCAATTTAGTCATAAACATCAGTTAGACAAAGCATTTCAGTTAGGAATTTTAAAAATGACTGATTGTGATTAATGAACTGTGGCTCACTATGTGCTCAAAAGTTTGAAAATGTGCACTCCGTGCAACATACATATTATCCCCATTTCATTGGTGCCACGAGGAAGGGGGGTCCTATACAGTAGCACTCTGGCTTTAGTCTGCTTGTTTTTCTACCCCTTTCAGGTGGCAGTTGCACTGATCTCAACATTGCCCCCTGGCTCGCATGACTGGCAGAGCAGCAAGGATGGCTCGTTCTCCCTAGGTTATGTGATGCTGTGCACGGAGTGATAATTTCAACTACCCGACGAGTATGGTGCCTGGAGCAAGTCTTCGACTGGTGTGTTTAGCGTCCTTTGCTGCCCGTACATCAAAAGTGGTCCGAAAGTGGCAACAAATGACGTCACGGAAGCCGAAGTGTCACGCTGTTGCATGTTGTGATCCTGGCGGTTGGCCATTGAAACGTTAAAGAGCAGCTGCAAGTACCACGAGGTGAACGCGAGTGTCGCTGTCGTCACGGCGTCCCAACTACTGGATGCTGAAGCTTCAGTGGACTGTCGAACTGTAGAGCGACCTGCAGTAGAACAGGCGTCTGCCACATCAACCACCGCTGCTGGGACACCGCCAGGATTGCGACCGGCAACATCATGACACTTGTATGATGCACCGGGCAGAAATTGAGGGATTACTTCTTTGGACACAGTAGACACACCAGTCGGAGATGCATTCCAGGCACCATACCTATCTATACAGTACCACCCTGCCTTCAGTCTGCTTGTTTTTCTTCCCCTTTCAGCTAGCAGTTGCACTGATCTTCTCAACATTATCCCCTGGCTGGTATGACTGGCAGAGCAGCAAGGATGGCTCGTTTTCCCTAGGTTACGTGATGCTGCGCACGGAGTGATGATTTCAACTACCCAACGAGGCATGGGGATCGTCTTTTTCTTTCAGCAGTGTTGCGAGTCTTTATTTGGGTGGTGTTGTACCTGAATGAGTTAATAAATGTTACGAGTCGCAGAGACAATATATGATGTTTTCAAGAATTTGGCAAATTATCATCCCAACATCTTCATTATGGAGGTTGCATGCACATAATATGTGCATGGGTGTGAAGTTTAGTGTGAGTGAACGATCATAAAAAAGGTCAACTCATTTTGTCTTGCCTTTATTGCACTGGAAGAATTGTAATGTATTTTTTCTTTCACGAGGCAATAATATTTTGATTGTGGAGTGGACACAAAAGTGTTGTGCCCTCGAATCGAGCTTGGTGCAAACCTGTGCATAGTAATAAATCTTTTGGAGCAAAAAAAAATTAAACCGGTGGCTATTGTTTCATTAGATATTGTTTCGGGGAGAGTTGGTAAGCACTCCTCAGCACAGTGCTAAACAATGCTTTCGGCACATCCATTTGTGAAATGTTGCAGAAATCTTAGGAAAAGAAGGTATGCTTTCTTTCAGCAAAGCCCTTCTTCGACAAACTTCATGTAAGATGTAATTCGAGAAGTATGTTTTGTGGTGAACAGCTAGTGCACAAATACAGTAATAAAACACGTCAAAACTTGTTGGAACAAAAAATTGGTGAAGTGTGTGGCATCTAAAATGTAGAATCTGTACATGGGGGAATCAGAGTGAGCTTTCAGCAGCTATATATGACCAATCTTGTTCTAAGCAGCCATTTGACCATTCGGAGATAACTTGAGAACTTGAAATACATGGTAGTACCAAACTAGAAGGCATTCCTGATTTTTCATATTTATTTTACTGACGCAAGGGGCAAGTTCATACTACACGTCATTTTTTAAACAAGTAATCCAGTACAAACAACACAAAAGTGGGAATAGCTACTACAATAAAGTGGAGATTTGGGCCAGTTGGTTCATTGCAAACAAAAAGCGCCGAATAAATGAAGGGACACAGTCGAAGGGAAACAGGACAAGGCGCCTTGTCCTGTTTCCCTTTGTCTGTGTCCCTGTATTTTTTCGGCGATTTTGTTTTTAACAACTGCTAGTATGCATACAGAAAACGTTAGGTCAAGAGCTTGCATCAGTAAACGTGCGTGCACACCGCACATGCTTGCTCAGGTTCTTTGCGCCAGAAGCTCTGGAGGCTTGTTTATTTTCGGTAAACGGGGGAACCTACCTGGGTAGTTTATGCAGGCAACTGCTCTTAAGTTCTCATAAATGTCTGCATAATCGCCACCGGGACCCGGGCTTTTGATACACGCGTGCGTGATCCCGGTTACTCGAAGGAGGCGGAGAATTTCGGGAGCGCCGGGGAAGTGGACGAGTCCGAGCGACAGATGCCTTACGGTGAGACGCGTCACTCTCCCGATTGCACCGCGCGCCGTCCGTTGTGAAATGTTGACAGCTAGAAGCATCCTGCCAGCAAACGTCGCAGCGTGACGAGCAACTGTAGCTTGGGTATCAGCGGCAGCCGCCTGTTGTCGCCGTTCGGATCAGGCGGTCAAGTCGCGGCCGAGCAGCTCCCGCGCCGTTGCCGTTCGTTGTCGCACATCCCGGTGGGGTGCATTCGATCACGGAGGAATGGCCGCTTCTCTCGGCGAAAAATACCCGTGACCGAGGGCAACACCGCAATTACAGGACACAAATATTGAACGCGGCGATCCCATATGCGACATCACATCAGCAAGCCGCCATGTTGAAATGACTACGAAGTCGCGTTCAAGGTAGGTCCAACCCAGTCTTGAAATTTGGGCACTTCAAGTTCGCTTCAAGCTCCGTTCAAGATCGGTTCAAGTTAAGGCGCGTTTATGAAGCGCGCTTGCTCGTCGCAAGACGGACTTGAGCAAGTTGAAGCTCGACTTCAGAGCAAGTCACATCTATGAATTCGGGGGTCAGACTCGGTTCTTTAGGATATCTGCAGGTATTCTTTGCAGCAAATGGCTGCCAATCAGGAACACGTGTTTGTTCTCGGCCACTAAGAGCAAGTATTTTCAAGGTGAGCTATTGCCCACCTATATCAGTTTTGTGTAACATTCCTTTTGGATGTCATTTCCTATGTGTTGTGGTCTTGCACTAGTATTTTGTTGTCTCTCTTCTGCAAAAGCACCCAAGTTTAATTAAGACCGGGTTCTTTCTTATACATGCAGGTCTTGGTGGCAAGAACCAGCCAATCAAGGCCAGAAGTTTGTTTTTTGCCGCGCATGCAAATGTTTTCAAGGTGAGTGATTGATGTCTATCTGAGTTGTTTGTTTCATTCCTCACAGACAGTCTATTTCCTGTCTGTATAGTGGTCTTGTTTCAGGCTTTTGTGTCTCTGTCCGGCCAAAGCATCTGTGTTAGACTAATCTTTAGGATATGTGCAGCAATTCTTGGCAGCAAGTGGCTGCCAATCAGGAACACGAGTTTGTTCTCGGCCACAAAAAGCAAGTATTTTCAAGGCGAGCTATTGCCCGCCTATATGAGTTTCAGCATTCATCAAGGAGCGCAAAATCAAAGCCCGGGGGTTGGCCATTGCAAAAATGTTGACTCGGAAGCGCATAGGGAGGAAGCTTTATAAAAGTATCCACCTGCTTCTACAAGACAAACCAAAACTAAGAATGTGGGTTCCATTTGAAAAGAAAAAAAACATTGTCAGCCCGAATTAACTCGGGGGCGGCACGGAGCAAACAAGCCACGGTACGAGTATGCTTGGTTCAGGCGTTTGTAGGGGTGGTAGATGACTCAATGTTTTCTAAAACAAATATTTTTTTTTCTAAAAATGTGGTGGTCGATTATTCAGGGATGGGCATTGAGTCGGGATGTTAAGGTAAAAATTTCATCCACATGCCGGGATTCATGTGCCTTGTCCCCCTAGTGAGGGGGACAAGGCCTTCAAAATTTTGGGTTTGCAAAAGGGGTGCGTCAGTATCGACGTCTCATTTTACATCATGCGTCTCAATTTAAAACGCACTATAAATGACATGCCTGAGATTCGTTTGGGTGTACTTCCTCTCAGCAAGTATATGGTTCCGTCTCAAAAAGGTCTAATCTGATGTTGACCGCTCCTCAGGTCTCCACCGACGATTCATCAGGACGGGACCCAACCGGGACACTAGGGAGGAACGGCTTAAGCAAGGGAGGCTACATATTCGACAGCTTCTTGCGGACAAGAAACGAAAATAGATAGATGGTGGGTGTTTCATTTGCTGTGCCTCTTGGCGTGCACATTATGTTTGTTATGTTTCAAGATTCCTGCAGAGTTCGTTTCAACTATTGTAAAGTACCGAGCATGCGCCCAGGTCGCAGAAGCGCCTACCCTCTGATTCGGAACGATCCGCAAATAAGCAAAGGGCATACCAGACACCCATCCACCTGTTTTGAGCCGTGCTCAAAATATTGAAAGAGCACATCAAGCGCCAGGTGCTGTGGCGTCTGCCACAATAGCGCCAGTCGCAGAGCTGACAGATCCGTGACTGGCGCAAGCCATGGCATGGCCTTTGGGAACCAGGGAATCGAGATTAAAGAAGTAGCGTAGAAATTGGAGGCGAGTGGTGAAGGTGAGCAGAGTTAACAGAAAAGAAGGACGAAGGGAGCTCCGTCGCATGAGGCATCTGTGTCCCGTGCATGTAATTTTGAGTGTGCTGTAGGTGGCTACCCAAAAAAAAAATTGTTACTTGGACGTAACTAATCGCAAATCTCTCTTGCAGTTTCCATGGCCCACAAGCCAGCCGGCGCCAGTTCGTTGTCGTTCAAAGGTGGGGATTCTAGATTTTCTAGATTGCTCTGAAGCAGCAATACTGAAGCCAGACAAGCGGTACGGCATATTTAATTGACAGAACGACTGGGGACGCTTTCACTGAAGCTTGTTTTGCTGCAATACACGTGTGTACTGCAGCAAAACAAGCTTCAGTGAAAGCGTCCCTACTCGTTCTGAGCTCCGTCAATTAAAGGTGCCGTACCGCTTGTCTGTCTGGTTTCAGTGTTGCTGTAGGCGACAAAACTTGTGCCCAGTTTTGTCACAAGAGGCATATTATGTCACGCACATGTAATTTTGAATTTATTCGGCTTAGTGTGCTGTAGGTGGCTGGTCAAGGAAATTGATACTTGGACGCCGCTAATCGCAAATCTTTCTGGCAGTTTCCACAGCCTAAGAGCCAGCAGGTCCCAGTTTGCTTTTCTTTAAAGGTGAGAATTCCAGATTCCCGAAGCAGGAATACTGAAGCCATACGACCGGTACAGCATTTTTAATTGACGGAGCTTAGAACGACTGGGAGCTCCTGCATTGAAGCTTATTTTTCTGTAATACAAGGGGGCGACATTGACACGTGACCAGTTACGTCGAAAGAGGATATCTATGTCCCGCGCATGTAATTTTGAATCCTTCAGACTTGGTGTACTTTACGTGGCTACTCAAAGTAACTGCTACTTGGACGCAACTAACCGCAAATCTCTCTTCCAGTTTCTACGGCCTACAAGCAAGCAAGCACCAGTTCGTTTTTCCTCAAAGGTGAGCATTCCAGATACTCTAGTTAGGTGCGAAGCAGGAATAGTGAAGCCAGACGAGCGGATACGTATATTTAATTGACCGAGCTCAGAATGACCTGTGGCAGTGGCATTGAAGCTTATTTTTCCACAATCAAACGCAGACTTAATTTTGAATCTATCCGGCTTGGTGAAGGATTGCTACTTGTCGCAAACTAATCACAAATTTTTATTTTGCAGTTTCTATATGGCTACAGCTAGCAGGTGCTGTTTTCATTAAGGTGAGGATTTCACATTCTGTTTTCAAGCACCAAGTTTTTGAATGAGAGTCCTAAACAATTAACTTTCTTTTGCAGTAAATGCCAGATCCTCCAGTTCAGGAATATGTTAAATATATTTGGTATGGATAAGTCCAGTGTTTTGCTTCTTTATTCACAATTTGACAAACGCAACATTTTTTTTAATTTATCACTCAGAAATACACAAAAGAAGAGACTGCGTTGCAGAGAAATGTTGCGATAAACGTGATATTCCAACTCGTATATATTTTTATTGGTAGCCGGTATAATATATTGAATTCCAATATCCATAATACGCTGAGTATATTGGAATCGTAAACCCCTATTGGATCCCCATACGACATATGGGGATCCTATAAGGGTTTATAGGGTATTGGATTCCAATATTTTCAGCGTATTATGGATATTGGAATCCCATAACAAATCCTTATTGTAATACAATACAATAAATGTAATGTTTTCCAATACACTGTCTATATTGTATTGCAATACAATAAAAATATATTGTTTACCAATATCCATAATACGCTGTTCATATTGGGGTTTTCCAATAGGGTTGTAGCAAAACAAGCTTCAGTGAAAGCGTCCTCAGTCGTTCTGAGCTCCGTCAATTAAATATGCCGTATCGCTTGTCTGTCTGGCTTCAGTGTTGCTGTAGGCAACAAAACATGTGCCCAGTTTTGTCACAAGAGGCATATTATGTCACGCACATGGAATTTTGATTTTATCTGGCTTAGTGTGCTGTAGGTGGCTGTTCAAAGAAATTGGTACTTGGAGGCAGCTAATCGCAAATCTTTCTGACAGTTTCCAAGGCTTAAGAGCCAGCAGGTCCCAGTTTGCTTCTCCTCAGAGGTGAGAATTC